ACAACCAAATTTGATTTATTGAAGTTAATATGATTTGCTTAATAACTTCAGACAGGGTGTAAAATGGGTATCTGTTTGGGAATACCAGGTACTGTGAACCTGGACGTGCGGGTGGTATGATGCATTATGGCTAGGAATTGTTAATCGGAGAGTCGAGTTCGAAATGTATGTATTCATCTCTTCTTCCCCGGCTATGGTTTAATTAGGGTATCTCTAAAACTATTATTAACTAAAAAAAAAAATCTTAAAATCTAAATATAATTTCTAGCTTTAAGTAACCTACAAAAAGGTTGACAAGCCGCAGAAAACAATCAATAAAAGCTCCTTAAGATATCTCCCAACCAAAAAATAAACATGATTTCTCAGCTCAAGAGAATGTGGTCACCATCAAATTTTGTAATTTCACCAAATTAGATAGACTGAATAAATCCAAAATAAAATTCCAATATTTTGGTACTTTTAATTCATTGTGATTTTTCCATGGGTATTTTCTTTGTATTAATATAAGTTCTGAAAGAAATAAAAATATTAAAAATCAAACATGTTATGATATTTTTAAATACCGACATTATTTCTAGGACATTTTGTATTATGTGTCGATAGGAATAAAATTTTTTAAAAAATGACTATATACACTATAGGCCAAAATTTTTGGGATACCTTTTGGATTTAATAAACAGTAAAGTTTCAGATCTTCTTTGGTTTATTTAGTTCCTAGTAAGCTAGGATACTAAAACTATTTGACTCATTAGTGCATGGTGTCTAATTCTTTTTAGAAAGAAGATTACCATTGGTCAACAAGGTAGATTAGGTCATAAGAGATAACATTTTAGTAAAACTTTATGCAGCAAAAGGTTAATTTAGTTATTATTAGTATTGAATATATGATAAAACCCATTCAGGGAGAGACATTCCCTATGGCTCGAAGTGAGCTCGTAAATTAATTTTGAAAATGGCACACAACCTTCAATTTTAACTCATTCTTCGAAATCCAGTGGGTGGCCCTAAACTATCCTGTTTTTTCTTTATGTTCTTTATTATAACTTGACAAAGTTAGAAACCCTAGTGCTAGCAAGTCAGTTTTTCTGGCAAAACCCAGAATTTTCAATTCTAAATGTGTATGTTGTCAGATTTTCCCTTTGAGAATAATGGCGCAATTCCTGCTTCTCGATATGATCGTCTGAAGAAGTTCAATATTTGATATATCAGTCAATTCTATAAATATATGGGCATGTTGGGTACCTCGAGGTGATGTAATGGTTACCAAGCATGTCTCGCTAGACCAATTACAAGTGAGTTTCATCCTCACTGGGTGCCCAATAATTTTGGCCTTGTGCCACATCTAAGCTACGCTTGAAAAATCACTATATTATATGGGCACGTTTTAGAACGTTTTCTTTCCGACCATGAGATCCGGTTTCGAATCTCACCATGGTCGCTTGGTCAGGAAATTCATTTTTTGATAGTATTGGTCTGGGAAGGTGATCCCATTGTGCGCCACCTTTAGGAAGTGTCTGAAAACCATACCATGGGTTTACCCAAGCCTTGGGAGTGAAACTGGGTAGAGAAGAACTATTCGTGAGATGTTTGTCATAGCACGAAGTCACAAGCCATTGTCACCGAGGAATTAAGAGTACTAGCTTTGTTTACACTGATCACGCTAGATAACATGCTCTCTCTCAGAAACTGCAACTAAAGTCCGCTCATAGTTGTAGCAGAGCCCACAGATGGGGCTCTGTTTTGCAAACACAAATGTGCCTGAACAGGTATCTGCAACAGGGATTGGCCAACTACCTTAGTAGACATTATTTAAATATTAAAAGCACCAATTAGTTTTTTTAATCCTTTTGATATTTTAGACAGGTTTGAAATCAGAAACATCTCTGTTAAACTTAATAAATATGCAGATGACGATACTTTAGAAAGTGTAACGGTTAGTGACTCGTAAAACGAATCGGGCAACCCGAGTTCGAATTCCGTTACGTTCATTTTGGCACAAATGCATTTAAGAATCTTTTCTCTCTACTAGCTATGGATTAACTAGCAGAGGTGGCTGGACTCTTTTACCTTGCGGTGGCAACCTATCTAGGAGAAGGAAAAATCTAAAACCAGCCTGAAGAGGAATGGGCCCCGCCAGACTATACAGCCCTAGACGTACCACTACTGATATGATTGTAGTGCATGTAATCAATCCCCACCCCTGATCATAAGGTGCTACGGAACTTGTGAGGTCAGAGTAAGATTTGTTTGTCTGAAACCTTTTTCACTGAATTAAACATAGCGATAGTAGAAAACGACTCGACGATAATAAAAAAAAAAAAAAAAAAACTTGTTTTTTGTTAGTGAATGGGAGCATATCATAGCAGACAGTACGTCGTAGTAGTAAGAAAGGGCTCAACAACAAACAAAGCGACCGAGTTGATGAATGGAAATGTATAGTGAATGAGTAGTAGCGTTCGTCTCACTCATTCACTCATCAAGTATTTCAGCCAAGCCCCCGTCTACCAAAAAAATAAGTTTTAATTATTTTAACATAATACTCTATCTTCCTCGTCGCTTAAAATAGGCCTGTATCTAAAAGTAGTCTGAAGGTATTTGCCGTCTACCATCCTTAGCTAAGAATATTTCCACGTTTTTTTTTTTTTTACAAAAGCTCTCTGTCTGTATATCTCTTTCTCTCTCCCGCTCATTGTATATCTGTCTCTCTTACACACAGAGACATTTTCTATATGCCTATATTGAATACACACACAGACACACAAACCCACACGCACAGATAATCAATCGATCACACACAAACACTATCTATGTATCTCTCTCACATACAAATATTATCTATGTAGCTATCATGTACGTACGCACACACAAACACTATCTATCTATATCTATGTATTTATATATCAGTCTATCTGCCTACTTATCTATCTTATTCACACAAATATTATCTAGTTACCTCGTACATACACACAATCTCTCTCTCTCTCTCTATCTATCTCTCTATCTCTCTATCTCTATCTATCTATCTATCTATCTATCTATCTATCTATCTATCTCACCCACACAAACATTATATATCTTATAGACACAAGCATTATCTTGGACATACACACGATCAATTGATTTATCTCATACACAAAACACTATCTATCTATCTATCTCTCATATCTCTCGCTCTCTCTCTCTCTCTATATATATATATATATATATATATATGTGTGTGTGTGTGTACTAAACTGCAACGTTATCTATCCATCTAGCTAGCTATCTCGTACACAATCTCTCTATCTCTATCTCTATCTCTCTCTCTCTCTCTCTCTCTCTATATATATATATATATATATATATATATATATATATATATATATCTGTCTCAGTGGTAACTGTTCAACTAGTCTAATCATTACACCATGCCGAGCCGCCTTTCGCATTCTGTCTACTGCCTATCAGTTAGAACATGAGAGGATCCTTGTTGTCGAATCAGTGGAACACATTGATACTTGTTTGCGTAAGAAAAACGGGTTTCAGACAAAATTCTAAATTCTAAATATATAAATTTTACGAAACGGTCACATTATAAATGTCAGAACTGTGTCTATTTCGAACGTTGGGGATGTTGGCTGCTAAATCGTAAAAAAAAAGGAACATTACCAAGTATACGTTGTCAATAGATCTTGTTAAAAGTATAAAGATTGCCAGTTCCTCTGAGCCTCGATTTCAGTGAATTTATATTTCAAAATATGACATCTTCCTTGGCCTTAATGCATTCTGTGTAATCGATCTCCAATTGGATTATTGATGTCGTTGAAATTAATCTTTTTTTTTCTTTTAATATCTGCGCCTTATGTCTAACGATCTTTACACGGTTTCGACTTCTGGGTTTTTAATTCAGACTTTTCATTCTCCTAGACTGGTTGCCAGTCACGGTTAGAGAATCCAGTTTGCTCTGCTATTTAACCCGTAGCTGAGGGGGACATATGGATTGAGTTCGATTTTTGTTTCACGGCATATCAACCTTGAAGGTCATTTCATGCCAAATAAGGACTTTTTACCAATTTTTGGACATTGAAGGAATAATTATGCCAGATTTTTAGTAGAATTCTGACATTAGAAAGTATAGTGTAGTTTGGAAGAACGTTTCCTTTTTATGTTCAGGCATGTGGGGGCTATGTAGTTGCATTTTGGGCTTTCTTCTATAAGTGTTGGAAATGATTGATTTCTTGTCGGTCGCCTATTATTTGAGAATCAGATACAGTTTTAAAAAACACTTTAAGGTTTTGTACTTCATAGTATTTACTACGCGTTTTCTTGTATTCTTTGCAGTTTATTAGGATGTGAGAAATTGATCACAAGAGATGCACCGAGGTGCAGTTTCTGCTTTGATTAAGTATGTGTAAGTTATATATGCATAATTCACACTCTGCTTAATACTGACTTTGATCAGTTAATGGTTCTCTATTTTCCACTTTGACTGTCGACATTGTTGTTTTGGAAACATAACCCAAATTGTTTGCCATTTTCTTTTAATATGTTGCATGATGTTATTTTTGTAATTTGTATAATGTTTGTCATTATTCTTTTTGCTTGCCTCCTTTGCCAGTGCATTAGCTTTTAGATTTCCCTTAATACCGACATGGTGTGACATTAAAAGTTTCCTAAGGTTAATTGCCAATTCTCCAGTATCAATAATCCCTGCTTAAAACGGTATTTTGTCTATAGTATTGTAAGCGCATCTTATATCTCATGACTACCAGGTTCAAATACAATTTGCTGACAAAACCAAGCGGACTAAAAGCAAAATTTGAAAACGCTGAGGTTCCTTATCCGAAAGGAATCCCCAATATTTCGAAAAGTCCAGTAAAATACACAGTTCTTTGGTTTTAAGTCGCAATGTCCATGGCTTAGTTGGCTAAAAGTGTATGTTGTCCCTTAATTACATCTGTTACAATGAAGTTGACAGTAACAGATTGAAAGATTTGTTCCCGGATTTACCCTCAAAACGCTTACGGCCATATCACGTTGAAACACTTGTCTTTGTACGATCACAGAGGTTAACCAAGGTCGAGGCTGGTCAGTACTGAAATGAGTGACCACTTGGGAATACCAGGTCCTATAAGCTTGGATGTGCGGGTGGTATAATGGATAACGGCTCGGAATTGAAAAATCTGAGACCCGACGTCCAATTTCAGTGAGGTTCGTACTATTTACTTACGCGCAAATAACCTTGTGAAACGTATGAATCCACCTCTTATCCCCCAGCTATAGATTAATTAGTAGGACTTGTATCAGTAAAGGTTCAAAGTGAAAACTTAGTGATATTATATAAGCAAATTCTAATTCATATTAAATATTGCGTTATGTCCATCTCTTTTTATGCATACAAAACAAAACTGTACATTTTAATCATTTGAGGGAACCTTTTTACCTTCCACCTGCATGGCTGATGCTCACCTCTAATTTTTTCATTTTCCTCATATTATCCAGCACTTAGTAAACCATGTCGTCTTAGGGACTTTATTGTCTTGTTTGTTGATGAAATGATTTTTAAAAAATGTCTAATATCCTCTTGTTCTTTCAGTACAAGGTTCCATGTATAAATTTTCGCCATTTTTTATTTTTTATTTCGCGCATGCGCATTACTTGTTTTTGATTTTTGTATACTGCACAGTATAGTAGGGTCAGTTGGGCACTATCTGTGAGAAAAAGAGGACCATGACACATTTCACTCGGCCAGAAATTTGAAAACGGTATACTGATATACCAGTACGAATATTTCAGAGTGTTTGGGTGTCAATCTGAGGACAGTGCAGAGTATTCAGTAAGAGTTGGATGGATCTAAGGGTGATTACGAAGGTGTTTTAGTGATCACTAGTGATGGCGACGTTATGCCTTCGTTCATCTTCCCACGGGGCCTCAGACTCAACACGAAGGCCTACATAAAGTGCCTTAAGGAGGTAGTGCTGGCCTGTCAAGAGGGTGGCTGTTGAAAAGACCCTGTGTCTGACAACAGGACTCTGTACTATGCCACACAAGCAGATAACCCAGTTATGGCAGTCAAACAATATCTTCGACCCCATTACCCATTACATCTGGCCACCTAACTCCTCAGACTGCAACCTCCTTAATCATTATGTGTGGGGCACAGTTGAGTGAGACACCAACAAAACTTGTAACACCAAAGATGAAATGAAGGCAAGGATTATGGCAGAATTCAAGGAGACCGGCCGGAAGAGATGCAGATTTCGAAGTTGTATGGAGGCCGTGATTGAAGACAATGGTGATTTTATTGAATAAATTTACTCTTTACTATATTAAGATAGTTTGTGTAATTCTGGTTAATATATCTGTTAAAAATGAGATGTCAGTGTTATTTCCATTTTTGCATAATTTAGACGACAATTCATCCATTGCACCATGTATAAGTCAAGGAATTCTGTAAATTATAACATTTCTTTCAAATCGAGACGAAGTATTAAAGTTGATTGATTTCTGCATGGAATATATTTTTAAAGAGCGTATCGATTCTACCAATGGATAACAGATCTAATTTGTCTTTATATAAAGGCTGAAGTTAATGTCTAATGAAGGCTAAAACATCTCTAGTAGAAAATTTGGGAGTAAGTTATCTTAAAGATGAAACAATTAAACGAGTCAATTGTAAAATAAATTATCATTTATTGCCTTTATATATTTATTTTATATCATATATTTAGTAATGAATGACAAATCACAGATAGAAGCTTTTGGAGAAGATCCCTTATAAATTGTGTTTTTAACTTGACTGGAACACTGATCAGTGATGCTTGGGAGGGAAAAAAAATCAAAAGTCAATTAATATATAAGAAATGTTTCAAAACTGATGCCTTGTAATAGTTATGGCGAAAACTGCAACAGAAGCAGAGAAGACCCTTGAAAAGAACAAGTTCTCTGCAATAAAACGCTATTTCTCTATATCACTGCAACCATTAGTTATTTATATTTGCCAGCGAGGAAAAGAGTCTACACGCATAGAAAATGATAAAAGATGCGCTTGATCAATTTGGAAACTTTTCTTATTTGCTATAATTGATTACTTCCGAATGTCTTTTTCTTCCATAAAGTGATCACTAACGTGTCCAAACTCTACTGTTTATACAACATAAATCGCGCTTCTTATCAACTATACAAAGCTATAGGCATGATTCTGTGATCAGGTATGTGTCATGCGTGATACACGCTAAGGCGATCATGTATCTTTCGATACATGACTGACGAGGCAGATTTTTCCCGCAGTAGGTTGCCATTTCTTTCTACGGTAGACCAGTTGCCATCCAAGGCGATAGAACCCGGTTTGTCCTGTTTTTTACCCATGGGGGGAGAAGAATAGGATTCATACCTTTCTCAAGGGTATTAGTACGTAAGTGAATGTAATGGATTCGACTGGAATTCGAACTCGGCTTTCTGATTCCTCAATCATAGCCGCTATCCATTACTCCACCGTGATTCTATGGTAGTGGCTTGGAAACATTTACTCATGTCTTTGATACTCTCTTTTAACAAAGTCTAATTCTTCTTTTCTATGCGCCATTCCTCTTCATGGTGTGGGCGATCACGGCTCTTCACAACTTCCAGTCTTTCGTTGTTTTACGTAACTTTTGAATCTTCACCATTCCTCTTGACACTTCTTCTGCTATCCATTCACACAAATTCTTTATTCGTTTTTCCAGTGCTTCTCTTGTCTGCAGTATGTCTCGTGAGGCTTTCTTTTCTCGTTTTGTGTCCCAGAAATTAAACAGTTCGCTCAAATCCTCGGTCACGATGACCTTGTGACTTCGTGTTAGTTAGCACAACCTCTATCGGCTTCTGAACAGTTTCGTCTACATCATGTCATTCCAAGTCAAGACAGATGCAGATAAGGGCTTTCGAGATCTGAACGACAGTACCACCAATCTTCAAAAGGCTAATTTGCTTGTCCGTCCGTGACACGCTCTATCACCGAGAGGTCTTTTTTTTTTGTCTACAAAGGTGGGTGCAAGTTCGAAAACCTTTGCCTGAAGATTTGTAACAGACTATCACCACTGTCCGTCCGTTTTATAGATTTACACGCTATATCTCTGATATTGAGCGCGTTTACTATCACCTTAAAAAGAGAGGTGTGTGTGTGTGTGTGTGTGTGTATGTGTGTGTGTATATATATATATATATATATATATATATATATATATATATATATATATATATATATACATGAAAATTTTTTTTATGTATTTTTTCTCTAGATTTCTATCTTAAGAACTCTTATGTCTGGGTTTGCAAAATAGTTGCGCTCAAAACTGAGTGACAACGACTAATTCCCTTACTTCATGGAAAAATACATTCTTTATCATCAAGTGCGGAAAATACATTCTTTATCAAGTGCTAAGAAAGTTGGTTCACTGTATCGTGGTAAACCATTTTTTTTTCTCCAAAATCTATGTTATATATTTATAAGTCTATCATTTTCACATGCTTTAAATATTACTTCTACATACGGTCCGGTGCTCCTGCTATATATTTTGATAAAATCCAAAATAAAAGTCCACAATTCTATTGGTCCTGACCTGGCATCTCGGCTTCAGTCACTTTCCCACCGCCGAAATGCAGCTTCTCTGTGGTTTTTCTATAAATATTTTCATGGTAATTATTCGGATGAACTCTTTGCCATAGTGTCTACACTTTATGAATTTAAGCAGAGTACTAGATTGACGGCAAGGTCTCATAAATTCACAAGAATCGCAACTGAAACAAATGAAATAGCTAAAAATGAAGATTACCATAATTTTATACCATGTCAAAACACCAAAAAACACAATAGAAATTCTGACGGAATCCCATTAGTCATCAACTGGCACCGAAATTTTTCTGGGATTTCCAAAATACTACACGACAGCTATGAACACACCGCGGAAAAATATCCGCGTTTTAAAGAGATTTTTCCCAACCCGCCTAGAGTTTCTTTCAAAAGAAATAAAAACATCAAACAAATTTGAATAAATGTAAGCGTCAGAAACAACATTGGAGTTTCAGATCGTTGTATTCCCGAAATTACTCACCGAAGAGGAAAACCGTGTCCGTTGTACAACAATATGAGTCAAGTTAATTCTATTAAAATTCAAATAAAAACATTACAATTTCAACAGAGGGTGGTAATTGTATTGATTTCTATTTAATATACTCCACCCAATGTGCTAAATAAGACTTGATTTGTGGGTTGCACAACGGAACAATTAAATAAAAAATATCATTGGACACAGGTATAATGTCAAACAAAATAATGTGACATCTACGGGTTTTGCAGAAAATTTTATTACAAAAGATTGTAACTTCGACAAAAATCTTATGGTACACATCCTGAAGAAATATTCAGGATCTACCAACCTGTTGATTCTTAAAACGCTTGAGGATGGTTACGTAAGCAAATTATTAACTTCCAGGCACGTGGGAATGGACAGAATAACAGATTTTCATAAGATCTATACTAAGCTGTTTGATTAATTCCTCTTAGTGACTAATCAACTAACGGAAAATTTCAAGATAAACCAGATCACCATCATATTAAGAACGTTCCAGTTTCATGCCTTCACACGGACGGCGTTTCATTCGTTTTGACGCGTTCATTAGCAGTTTCGTTACAAGACAAGCAAAAGTTTTACGACATGTTTTTTTTTTCTTTGAGTTGTTGCCCTGTGTGTATGAGGTATTTTAGTGTATATAGGAGCGAATGATGACGGATAGATTCTTATGGTTAATGAATAAATTGTAACGAATGAATGGGCCATGAATCTGATTAGCTAGTTATAAGATAGTGTCTTGACCAATCTCCCCTCTTTTCGGCCTTGTGCCACAATTACTGTATTCAAACAGTAATAAATCGTAAGCAATCAACGTTTGTACAAAGACTTATAATTTTTTGTAGATTTATATATTTTTATACTTGAAAAATTATTTAAATATAACTTGAAGAAGGCAGGCATTCTGTTGAAATATTGTTTTGCATTGTCAAGCATTGTGTTTTTTCTTTTCTTTACCTTTCCTAAATCTTTTCTTAACTGTCAAAAATATTGGAAGAGTTACGGCAATCATTTTGTTTA